AATTTGATTTGCACCCCTTTCGTGACGTCAGGCGGACAAATGGCTGATGTTCTAACTAAAGGATTGGTAGGGGAAACATTTTAGACAGTTATATCCAAGCTAAGAATTTATAATATCTATTCACCAGCTCAAGGAAAAGTGATTGTAATATTCAATCTTCATATTTTAGAATATACTAATTTGTTTATGGCTGTAAATAGATAATGTATTTATGCATGATAGGTGAAATCCCAAATGTTTAGCAGTCAATAGATGTAATCCCTCATTTATAGGAATTGACAGCTTTATTTTTCGTTGACTTTCTTTATAATGCTAGATTATAAATTAGGTTCGTTCAACTCATCTTGATGAAAAATAATACCATTTTCCTCCACAAATAATCACCCATGTGTGATAAGATGCCCCGTACCATCTAAAGTCTTCTTCCTAAAATTATTTCCTTAAGTATGTCCTTTTAATGTGCACAAGATGAAAGGAAAAGCATTCTTAGTTGAACATTTCCAGTCACGTAGGCTATTTCCAGGGAGGAAAGTATTCTTAACAGGATATTAGGCTCCCAAAAACTATTTGTTTGACCACAAAGCCAAACGAAGTCGTCAATAGTTGGAAGAGGGAACAAAATGCTTTTATAGTAACCAGCACACAAGGGCATACTTCTAAGTTTGTGACCAGAAATTAGTAAATTATTATTCAAAACTAGGGAATGTTTTGAATAAGACGCACAAAGGAAACATAAATGGAGACACCTCAAGCTAATCATGGAGTAAATTTTGGCATTTTAATTCCTTGAAATTAAGGGCTTGGATAAAATCTTGATGCCTATTTCTCAAAGTACATCATGTGGAAATAAAAATTGAAGTTCTTATTTTGTTCTCTCTGAAGTCTGAACAACTAATTAGAAAAAATGTCTTTTTCATCCAAAAAAGAGATAAATATAACAGATTCCTCTAAAACTGCCATTTTTTCATGGAACATGATCCTCAACAGAAATAGTAGAGATTATTCGTGTCACTTATGATTGGCTATTAATCTGAATCTGGTTCAAAGCTCTTCTGGTGAACCTGAATTATTTTTGTTTTCTTTTTCTCTATGTGAACTTCATGTTCATGATAACTGGAATTCTTTTTTCTCTAGATGTGGGGTTCTAACACTGTGCAAGTAACATGCAGGACTTTTAGGAAAGATTAAAGCTTTACCAAGAATAAACACAGTAAACTCCTATGGCAGTGTGTTTGATTTGTGATAATTTGAGAAAATTGGACAAAAACGAATTGTTTAATTCTTTTTACACAGACTTCAGCTATCATATGTTGGTTCTTATGAAAATTAGCCTTGTGCTTAGAGTTATAGCAAAATTTCATATTTTTCTCCTTTAAATTGAACATAAGGAGAAAAATAGAATAGTCAGAAAAATCACAATCTTTAACTGCCACGTACAAGATCACTAAAAGGTTAAAAATAAACTTAG